GCTGCAGGAGGCGGAGGCCCTGGGGGTGCGCGGCGCATGAGGCGTGGGGAGCCGAGTGCCAGGGGCCCCACGAGCGGGCGCGCCACCTGCGGGCAGAAGCTCATGGCCACGGCCTGCTGCAGCGTGGCAATGGCTGAGGTGACCTGCGGCGGTGGTGGTGGTGGGAAGAGCCCCACACGCTGACCCAGCTCTGCCTGCTGCACCATCTCACGGTCATACTTGACAATCTCCTGGATGATGGCATTCTCCTGGTTGTTGAACACGCCCGAGCTGAGGTCGTGCTGAACCTTGTGCAGCAAAATGGAGTTCTTCTTGCCTGCGGGCAAGGCAGAGGTCAGCCACTAGCCTGGCCACCTGCCTCTGCAGGCATGTTCTCAGTACCCACTCTATTACTTGTGTAGATTCCACGTATTGCGTGCCTCTCCTGTGGCAAGTGCATGCTAATTGCCTGTGGCATACAGCAAGTGTATCCATCACACTCTAGAGTCCCCGTCGTGTGCGGGTGTGTCTGAGCCCTTGCTGTGTGCCCTCTGATTCGGGCCACTGTCCTAACACCTGGTTCTTCCTGTCAGCAAGAGCTCCCACCTCTCCCTGCCTTCCATGCCTGACACAGATGTTGCCAGCGAACCTAGAACTTTGCTAATGTGCCTGGTTTATTGAGCCAGAGCTGTTTCCACCAGGCCTCTGTTTCTGGCTCTTCTCGCCTTTTCACCCCAGGGCCTTTGCCTTCTATGTTCGCTCAGCACCCTGTCCCTTCTGTAAGCCATGCCTTTACCTCCCGGGATCCCTCTCTGGCAGTCTAGTAGCTCACCGATACGGTCCAGGCGGTCAATGGCCACAGTCTCAAAGGCACGCCGCATCATGGGGTACTCCTCCAGCACCTCGTTGAAATTATCTACACTTAGTGAGTAGAGGCGGCAGTAGGTGTCAGCCCGCACACTGGCTGTGCGCCGGCCCCTTGTGAGCAAGCAGATTTCTGCAGAGACAAGAGTGAGAGCCTCATGGGCTGCACTGTGTACAGCTGCCCACCCAGTCCATACTCCCTGGGCTGGAGCTGTCCGCCGTCCTGTCCCATCCAGATCTCTGCCTTGCCTTACTCACCCCCGAAATAGGAGCCATCGGACAACTTCATTTCCTTGTTGCCCTTGGTGAGCACGCTCACCACCCCGTGCTGAATGAAGTACATCTTCTTGCCGATGGTGCCCTCTCGGATGATGTAGTCACCGGGCTGGAAGACCTCGAACTTGAGCTTCGTCAGCATGGCGGTGACAAAGTTGGGGTCTGCGTTGGCAAACAGCGGCATGGAAGCCACCAGCTTCCGGCAGTTGAAGTTCACAATCTCCTGTGGGCAGGAGGGAGGGCAGCTAAGTGATGGACTGGCTTGGTAACTCAGACCCTCAGTCTCCTCTGTGCTAGACAGTGGCCCCTCGGCTCCTATCCAACTTCCTAGGCAGGGTCAGGAGACAGGCTCAAGACACACAATAAAGTCCCAAGTCCCCACACCACCATGGGATGGGTGACAGACCCTGGACTGGGAAAGTCCAACTTTGCAGGTCTCTTTGTAGATAACAGGACCACAAAAATACCCAAAAGGATCAAAGGAGGGACAGAGTTCAGTGGGCAGAGCTCTTCCGGGCCATGGCATGAACCAGGTCATGCAGGCCTGTCATCCCAGCATGCTGGAGTGGACGCAGGAGGGTCAGGAGTTCAAGGTTAGCATCACCTACATAAGAAGCTACGTGAGACCCTGTCTCTCAGAAACAGTAAAAGACTTCTGAAGGAAAAGGAGGCCACACCGCATGTGTCCTCGGGCCCTTGGTTATATACAAAATGTCATTCCAGCCAGGACGCTTCAGGTCTGTGCTTTTTATACAGCTGGATGTAGTCAAGGGCATTGCCAAGAACCCAGCAAGCAACTCATGGAGACTAGCCTTCATGATTCACTACAGGGCCAGGACTGTGAGCTGAGGCCCTGCCAAGGAGGGAGTCAGCGGGACATATGAAAAAGGGACCACAGCACTCGGGAGGCTGAGGCAGGAGGATTGCCATGAATTTGAGGTCACCTTGTGCTGAAGAGCGAAACCTGGTCTCAGAAATGGAAAAGAGGGCCGTACTGTGGCGGCGCTCTCCTTTAATCCCAGAATTTGGGAGGCAACAGCAGGTGGCCAGAGTTTGAGGCCAGTCTGGTCTACAGAGCGAGTTCCAGGACAGCCAGAGTTACACAGAGAAACCCTGTCTTGGGGGAGGAGAGAGGTTTCCTGTGGGCTGCTGCTCTAGGGTTGGGAGTGAATGTGGGTGCCCTACAAAGCCACGGACTTCGTGCACTCCGTGGCCTGTGAGCTAGGCTCTCTACAAAGGACAGGTGAGCAGGCTGCCTCCTGATGTGGGCCCTCCGGGGGCCTCTGCCCTGGCTGTACCCTCCCCTTGGGACCTTCAGACACGTGTAAAAAGCTGAGGCTGCTGTGTGCCCAGGCCTGCGGAGACAGAGACAGGATCCTTGGGGCAAGCCTGCCTAGCTGAGTCGCTCAACTCCAGGCCAGTGAGAGACCCTGTCTGATGGTCCCACGGGCATCATTCAAGTTGTCTTCTGGCTTCCATGTACATATGTGTGCACTGCGTACACATGGACATATGCATGTATGCATTTAAAAAGGAGATAGGGGGGCTGGAGAGATGTCTCAGCGGTTAAGAGCATCCATTGACTGTTCTTCCAAAGGTTCTGAGTTCAATTCCCAGCAACCACATGGTGGCTCACAACCATCTGTAATGAGATCTGGTGCCCTCTTTTGGCCTGCAGACACACAGACAGAATATTGTATACATAATAATATAATTGTATACATAATAAATAAATATTTTTTTTTAAAGAAGGAGATAGGGCTCAAGAGGTTTCTTAGTGGTTAGGAGCGTTTGCTGCTGAGGACTGCAAGATGGCTCAGTGGTCAGGAACACTGGCTGCTCTTCCAGAGGACCTGGATTCAATTCCCAGCAAACACATGGTAGCTCACAACTGTCTGTAACTCCAGTTCCGGGGGATTCAATGTTCTCTTCTGGTCTCCACAGGTACCACGTGCAAGCAAAGCATCCACATGCATGAAATAAGTAAGGGCCCAGGTGACAGGAGAGGCAAGACCTTCTCCAGGGTCTGGGATGGAACATGGCTGCACAGATGTGTATGTTTTATGTTCTGCACCTAGTAGACTGTAGCTTGGTGTTTGAAGCTGGCAGGACTGCGGGTGTTGGCCAGGGGCACCCACAACATATGTCAGACCTGATCCCACATACCCTGTCAGTGTCCATGGGACCCTGGGTACAGGTGTGTGTGTGGGCTGCTGCCACCTCACCTCACGCAGTGGCCCGTTGAGCTCCCCGAGGATGCTCTCCTCATCAAACATCTTCCCCTGGTACCGGTGTTCATAGTAATCGTGGATTTTTTGGCGGAAATCAGCAGGCAGCTTGTGGAAGGACATGTATTGTTCTACTTGCTTGTACTGAAGGGAGGAGAGCAGGATCAGTGTTTGCCCCAGAGACAGGCCCAGCCCGGTGCCACCCAGCTCGGGGACCCATCACCCTGTCTAGCCCAACCCAGGGAGATGACAAGCCCAGCAACACCAAAGACAAATGATGTGTTTTGTTTGGAGATGGGGTTTCATGTAGCCCAGGCTAGCCTCAAGTGCCGGGGTGACAGATGTCGCCGCCACCACAGGCCGACAATGCTGGGGTGGAACTCGGGTCTTCACAGACACTAGCGCAGCGCTGTGGTCACAGAGCCCCTGCCCAGGCCGTGTGTTTTGTTATGTGAGGAAGGTCGGCCTCCTGACTGGTGAGATGACAACCTGAGACACCCCTGCACCGCTGCGCCACCCCGGCCGTCTTTACTCTCTACTGAGCCAGTCTCGCTCCTTTGCCCTCGCTGTCCTCCTACATCTGCCTCCGTCTAGACTGGTATTTAACCTTTAACCCCCATCACTAGCAGGAGGGTCAGGAGTTCAAGGTCATCCTCTGTTTTAGACCTGAGTTTGAGACCACCATGAGCTATGTGATACCATAGCTCTCAAAATGTCTGTTGTGTGGGCGCCTTAGGGTGTCTGGCTCCTATTTCTGAGTCGCGGTTATCTACAGTGTCAACATCAGTATTCATGTTGACTTCCATCCCAAGTCCTGCCACCAGGACCTGGGGGACAACACAGAGTCAGTTCCTCCCTAGCAGGGCTGGGGTGTGGGTGCCAGGCTGTCCCCAGCACAGTACCCCCAGGGCTGCTCCAGCCCCATTTCTAAGCCACAGCTGTCCTTATCTCAGCAGACCCCGTGACGGCGGGTGGGTGGCAGCACCAGCTCATGTTTGGGTGCGAGACGGAGGCTTCCGGACACAGGCACCTGGCACAGAGCCCGGGTGACCCGGCTGGCACTGTCGGGGGTGGGGAATTAAGCCCCATTGCAGAGTGTGAAGCTGCAGGTGGTTGAAGGCAGGGCTCCTGCCCTTTTGGCTGTCATATGCTCCAAAGCAGCTGCCCCTAGGACCAACCTGGAGGATACACTCTTTGTTCAGAGGACAGACAGAAATGGCTGGTAACTACTACTCTCTCCAAAGGTTCACCCTGCTGACCAGCCACCCCCAGTCACTGACACCCCAAAACACTCAGAAATGGGCCCCAGGGACTGGGCTCCTGTCCCTTCCGCTCACCTACCCAACCTGGCACCTTTAACTCTGAGCACTTACAGAAGCTCTTAGAATCAGGCACTGCTCCTACCCTTCCCTCCTCCCCGCCCAGACTCAGGGCAAGCATCCCCCTCTATCCATGGCCTCCCCGCTCTGACCTTCTCCTGGTACTGGCGCCGGGATGAGTCCAGAGACTGGATGAGGGCAGTGGCGTGCCCGATGAACATGGCATAGCAGGTGGCCCCCACGATCATGCTGAGCATGGTCAGCCAGATGTCGGTCATGCTCTCAGGCGCCTGCCGCCCATACCCGATGCACAGCATGTGGCTCATGGCCTTGAAGAGCGCGAAGGAGTAGAGCTCGCTCCACGAGTGGTTCTGCAGCAAAGGCAGTGCAGACGGTCGGGGGAGGCCCTGAACCCACCTGCCCACCCTCCTGTGGGCGCCCCCGATCAGAAATAACCAAGGCAGTCGCAGGCAAAGGACACGGCAGCGACATGTTGGGGTCTCAGTGAGGCACTAGCAGGGACAGGCCTGACAGCACCTCCCACTTCACTCTGGAGAAACTAAGCGACAAAAGGGCCGCAGTCCGGCAAAGGCAGCTTCAAGTGCCCATTTCAGAGTCCTGGAATAACACCCGAGGGGCAAGGAGGGGAGAAGTCCACCCCTGGATGTCCCCAGTTGACCCGGCCGGAGAAGGGGGGGCACTGGGCCCGTCCAGGAAATGGAACCGCTTGTGCAGGCAGCAGTGGGACAATGGGTTCCTCAGCCGGGGCAGCTGTGCCAGGCTCTTAGGAGGGGCGTTTGTGGGTTCTCCCGACCCGGCTTCTGACTCCATTGATGCCTGCCTGCTGTGTCCTGACTGACACACACCAACCTTCAGTGTGTCCCTGCCCTGGGGTGCGACACTTGCTGCAGGTTCCAGGGATACAACCTAAGGCCGCTGGGACCGGATGCAAGTGTTCATCACTGAGCCAAGTCCTCTCACCTCACTGGGGATTCTATGGAGACTCCACCCTGACCAGGACCACAGCCCCTCACTGGGGGGTTCTAGGCGGGGCTGCATCCTGACCACGCCCACAGCCCCCTCGCTGGGGGTTATGGGCGGGGCTCCACCGTGACCACGCCCACAGCCCCTCACTGGGGGATTCTAGTGGGGGCTCTACTGCTGAGCCACCCCCAGCCCTCTTTTTACTTTTATTTTGAGAAAGTCTTGCTAACCTTGAACTTGCTATCATCCTACATCTGCCTCTCTTAGGAACTGGGCTGTACAGTCTCTTTTTAAATGTGATACAAACGTGGGGACAATGGGTATCTGGAGTTGTTACTTCTTAGGGCTGATGGTAACAACTTTCCCCTTGGTTTCACTTTAAACATATTGACATGAAGACATAAGGAGAAGTGACTGGCACACTGCCATCCCAGCGTGCTGGAGGTGATCCGCAGCTACCTAACCAGCCTGGTTACAGAATGTAAGAGGTCGGACTGGAGAGGCGGCTCCGCAGTTAAGAGCACCGGCTGCTCTTCCAGAGGACCTGAGTCCAATCCTCAGAACTCACAAGGCAGCTCACAACCCTTTGTAACTCCAGCTCCAGGAGATCCGATGCCCTCTTCTGGCCTCTGAGGGCACTGCGCTTATGTGCATATACCCACACACATACACATGATTTTAAAAATAACAAATAAACCTAATGGGAATTCCAGCAGGAGAGGCTGGAGAGAAGACTCGGCTGTTTAGAACACTTGTTGCTCTTCAAGAGGACCCCAGTCCAGTTCTCAGCACCCAAATCCATACCCCGGGGATCTGACACCCTCTTCTGACCTCCACAGGCACACATACATACATGCAGGCAAGCACACACATAAAATGAAATAAGTATAAAATAAAAACTTAAAAAAAACTTTTTGGGGGGGGGGTGTGAGGGAATTTCGAGACAGGGTTTCTCTGTGTTGCTCGGACTGTCTCTGTAGACCAGGCCTGCCTCTGCCTCCCGAGTGCTGGGATTAAAGGCGTGTACCGCCATTGCCAACTAAGCAAAACATTTTTAAAAGTAAGATCACTGAGCAGTGTGTCCGTGTGGCATTGAAGAATGGCATCAGACGCCAGGGCAGGTGGGCTGAGGGATCCCGGGGACACTGGCAGGTATCAGGCACAGGGGCAAGTGTGCATAAGGCCTTCTATATCAAGGGGCACTAGAGGTCATCAGGTGGGAGCTGCTTTGCCCGTAGAGGACCCTAGATGGTGGGCACAAGGGTAGGGTGGAGCGGCGCTGTCCCTGGAGGCGTGGAGGGGGCTCCACCAGGAAGCACTCACCACCATCTTGTTGATGGACACCCAGCAGTCGCTGGGGAAGTCCTGCAGCATGGGCACCAGGAACTGCAGGCAGCCATCCCAGTGGCAGAGCAGGAGCATCATGCTGATCAGGTTACAGATGCGCATCACCGCGCTGGCCAGGTCGTAGGTCATGTGGAAAATCTGAGAGGGCACACGACCATGAGAATCCTGCACCCCTTTTTCAGGGCCAGGGAAATTCTCTGTACCCTTCCCCAACCACTTTTTTTTTTTTCTGAATTCCACCCAGAGTACCTTACCCATGACCTCTCTGGAACATCCTACCCCATCCTGTCCAAGTTCTGTCCCCACCTGCCAGCCCCGCTAAATTTCTCCCAGTGGTCACAGGGGCAGGAATGGGTCAGAGTGAGGGATCTTGAATTTGGGAGTTGGGTAACTGAAGACGTCTGAGCCTCTTTCCCCCACGTCTTACAGAGTACAGGGAGGGGCATGGAACAACGTGTCCTGAAGGTCCTGGCCCTGCAACTCCATGAGGAGTCCATGGTGGTCCCCAAGACTGTCTGTCCTCCAGCCCTGCTCCTGAGCCTACAGCCACAATGTGAGACGCTGCCTGTCCCCCACCCTCCATCTAACAATGTGTACCCGGACCCCACCCCTCTGCAAACCTTGCTCATCTTCCCAGGACCCAACCCTGGGCCTTCCATCACAGGCAAACCTCGCTTCCCTTATGGCTCCAACAGTAAGGGTCCTGCCCAGTGCCCTTGGCAGCTCCTGGTGAGGTTCCTGGTGAGACTCAGGGCCCAACGCTACACCTTTGACTCTGCCATAAGATGCCCACTTTCATTCCCTATAGAAACCTTAGCCCTGGTTCTTCTAATGGTCCTCAGCCTTGGCCACATCCACAGCCCCAGACCCTACACTCCCAGGATTGGCATCCATGTGGGCCCCACACGCACAGCTCTGGCCCTGCCCAAGCATGGGTTCTCTCCCTGCAGCTTTGACTCAGCTATACCCCAAAGTCCCAGCCCTGCAGCCCTAGTCTGTTTCTTGTGAGTTCCCCCACCCTTCCCTGTCTCTCAAGTCAAAGCTGCACCCCAAGTCAAAGCTCTGGCCCGAAAGTCATGACCACACCCACACCAAGGTCCCAACCTCAGATGATTGGCTCGACTCACAGAATCGACCCACCCAAGCCCGAGGTCCCACCCCCACTCCCAAGACCCCACACCTAAGGACCATCTCTAACCCCTAGACTTAGTTTCCAAGGCCCTGCACCCTTTGCGGGGTCCACAGTTGACGCCCACCCACCCCCCAAGGCCCGCATCCCTGGCTCCACAGCTCTGATGGCTCTGACTTCAGTTGTAGCCCCAGTCCTGCCCGAGACACGTCTCTGGGGTCCCACCCATCCTTGGTCCTCTCCGCCCCTCACCTCCTCCCACTGGTGGATGTAGCGGATCAGCCTGGACAGCCGCAGCAGCCGGAGCAGGCTGAGGATCTTGGTGAAGCGAACGATGCGTAGTGCCCGGGCCGTCTTATAGACCTCGGAGTCGATGCCTTTCTCCACGATGAGGAAGATGTAGTCCACCGGGATGGACGACACGAAGTCTACCACGAACCACGTGCGCAGGTACTTTTTCTTTATCTTCTCGGGGTCCAGGATGATCTCCGTGTTGTCCTCAATCACAATGCCAGTACGGAAGTTCAGCACCAGGTCCATGAGGAAGAAAGTGTCCGAGACCACGTTGAAGACAATCCACGGCGCAGTGGTCTCATCCTTGAAGAACGTGATGCCCACTGGGATGATGATGAGGTTTCCCACCATGAACAACAGCATGGTGAAGTCCCAGTAGAACCTGGGGACAGGCAGGATGCTCACGACGCCCGGCCTTGGCAGGCGTGCCCTCTTCCCCAGCCCAGCTGCTTTCCGGGACCCCAACCCTGAGGTAGGCAATGAGCCCCAACCTTGAGGTGGTCTCTGGGACCCCAACCCTGAGGTGGGCTCTGGGACCCCAACCCTGAGGTGGGCCTCCTGAACTCCAATCTTAATGTGGTCTTTGGAACCCCAGTCCTAATGTGATCTCTGGGACCCCAACCCTGAGGTAGACTCTGGGACCCCAACCCTGAGGTAGGCAATGGGCCCCAACCTTGAGGTAGACTCTGGGACCCCAACCCTGAGGTTGACTCTGGGACCCCAACCTTGAGGTGGGCTCTGGGACCCCAACCCTGAGGTAGACTCTGGGACCCCAGCCCTAATGTGGTCTCTGGGACCCCAACCCTTAGGTAGTCTCTGGGACCCCAACCCTAAAGTGGGTCCCCACCAAAACTAAGGTAGTCTCTGGGATCCCAATCTAAGGAGGTCTCTTTCTCTCTGGGACCCCCAACTCTAAGGTGAGTCTCCAACACCGCAATCCTAAAGTTGTCTCCGGGACCCCAGATTATAACACAGCCTCCAGGACTCCAGGTCTTGCTGTGTGGCAAGGACTGGGCTTCCTCAAAGAAGCCTCCTAACCCCAGGCAGCAGGGTCCCTCTCTCTGGCCCACTCTGACCTTGCCTTGGACGCACCTCCAGTCTGCAGAGAAGGCTCAAAATAGACTAAACACTTCACATGACCAAAGAGGGACAATGAGCCTGGCGCAAATCTGGTCTTCAGAAAGGATGGGAGCCGGTAGGTGGCACACTGCTGGGCATGGGTGGGAGGCTAAGAGCTAGGTAGGGACACAGGGTAGTGACCAGCCACTCTCTTCTCCGGCTGGTGCTGCAGGGCTCACACCATGGTGGGGTCACAGCTCCTGGAGGGTGCAGCTGGTCACCTTGGAGAGCTAGGCGTGTGGGCACAGCTGTTGTCTCAGCACTCCAGAGGAGGCGGGAGGATCAAGAGCTCTAGAAATAGGCCGGGTATGGGGGTGCACACCTACAATCTCAACACCAGGAGGAAGATGCAGGAGGATCTCTGGGAGTTCCAGGCCAGCAGGGCTGCAGTCTCAGGGGTCTCCTCACACCTAGATTGTGTGAGCCCCCTTGGATCCCTAGAGGTCTGTCACTACCTCTTGGAATTTGGGCTTCCCATAGGCACGGTGCCCACTGTTTCTAGAGCACACAGGCTGGGTCAATTCGCCCAAGTCAGCTCAGAGGAGAGGCGTGCATCTGGGGTGCGGTGTCTGGAGCCGCTGGCTCAGAGCTGGCCTGAGAGCTGGCTCCTTCTGCCGGTTATAAACACCGTGCCCAGCGGGTGACTCCACTTCAGAGAACCGAGCTCAAGGAAACAGTCCAAAAAAGAGAGAGAAAAAATTCAAGAGTGATTTGTACTGGGGCACTCTGGGCAGCTCAGATCGCGAGAGCCAAGGACGGGACAACACCCAGAGTCTTTCAGCACAGCCTAGCGCTGGCTCCTGCCGTGCACTAGTGACCTTGGGCTTCTCTGCCCCTTGGGGACCATAGCCTCTTCTCGCCTCAGCCCTTAGTGGGAGGATTTTGGGGCTGTATTCATGTGCGATGCCCCTCACAAGCCCTCTTGGTGGGAACAAGACCTCCGAAGCTGAGGGGTAACATCAGCTGTGGGGGAGGGGTCTATCAGATCTGGCGAGCACGAAATAACAGATTTGAAGAATTCTTCCTTTTAAATTATGTGTATGTTTGTGTGTCTGGGGTAGGGTAATCTTGCACACGGTGCAGAAGAGGGTGTCTAAGTCCCCAGGAGCCAACTCACTGAGTGGGAAAAATCAAAGCCCACTTCTCCTCAAGAGCCCTGAAGCCCATAGCTCAGTCATAACCAACGCTTTAGGGTGGGGCCCGGATCTGGACAGTAGTGCTGGCTCAGACCCTGCTGTCAGTGGACAGCTCTGAACCGCTGTCCCCAGGATCTGTCATACAGCTTGGCCCCAACCTCTCCCCTTCTGGATTGAGGATGCCTTCTCTTTGGAGGAGCCATTGAGTAAAACAATTGAAAATGGGCACGCAACAGTCACCAGGAACCAGAAACCACCATTAGTGGGTACAGTGACCTTCTGTGGTGGGGGGAAAGCTAGCTGGAAACAACTTAGGGTGGGCCACGAAACCACCAGGGAGACCTAGAAACCACTTGTGGGGCACTTTCAACGGTCATGGGAAGGAGCCTTAGAAACTATTCGAGGCTCCTGAAACAGTCTGAAGACACAACAGACCACAGCAGGTGTCTCTTTCTAGGCTGCAGTCACGCAATACTTCCCTTCCCTTCCTGGGGTGGTCAGGGCCGGGCATACTTCCCATGGAGGCCCAGTGGGAAATAGGGCCCAGGCCTGAGACTGCCCTCTGCACCCAGCCACTCCATCCTGGAGCCTCCCTCAGCCACTGCATCTCCAGGTCACAAGGTCAGCCTGTTTTCCCCCAGTGCCTGAGGAGAGGGACCTACCAGGTCCTTGTGGTCCTGGTAGGGTGGGGCCCACTCGCTCTAACCAAAGTGTCCCCAGCCTTCATCCTCCGCAGTAAACCTGGTCCCCACAGATAGAGTCAGAACGGGTCAGAAGTCCCACACCAAGGGGAGCAGGCCAGGCACATGGTGATCCCGGGACTCTGGCGGTCCCCTCCCCCACCCTCCTTCACCAGTCCCAAGCCATGACTGTTGGAAGGGACAGGACTGGGAAGGCGGGCCATCCAGACACAGTTCAGACTTCTCCCCCAGGCTGTGCTTCCTTGGCTAGCGTCCCCACCTCTCCACCCCATCCACAGCAAGGACTCGGGGACCTCTGGGCACAGGACAGTCCTCTGACACTTGGGAAGTTGAAGAACAGGAGGATCAAGAGTTCAAAGACTTCCTTAGCTACGTAGTGAGCTAGGGGCCAGCTTGGACTACATGAGACCATCTCACAGAACCAAACAAATTCCCTAATAAACAACAATGAGTCCTGATGACTGCCTGATTCTGGGAGGACACTCAGGACCACGCTGGGACCTCCCCGGCTCAGGGGTCAGAGGACAGATCCAGTGGGAGACAATGGGAAAGAATCTCTTTTGCTGATCCTTAGCCAAGCCCTCTCCAACCCATAGGTAGATTCCGGATGGTTGACACCAAATGAACTCTCTTCTCCCTCAGCTCCAGCAAGGAAACTGAGGCCCGTCGATCATGGGCTAACAGAGAGAAGCCCCTTCCATTCACAGCTGGGCACTGCTGGGTGGGTCACAGCCCCCACCGGCACAGTCAGGATCTTATCGCTGATAAAGCCCTCAAAGCCAAGGTCAGCCCTCCATAGACCAACCAGGACGGCCCCAGCTCTCCAGGCAGATCTGAGATAGCGCCAGAGTCGTCTGGTCTGGGATCACAGATCCAAGCAAAGCTAGAGGGATTAGAGGCTGGAGGTCAGGGATTACGGGCCAGGCTCGGACAGAGGATCAGGGCCTGAGCCCACTGAGTCCCCAGAGCAGGTGACAGGATTAGGGCTGAAAACCACGGTGGGAGACAGCTGGAGTCCCAGGTGCGGACATTTGTAAATGTGCCGGATGCCAGGGTGTGAGGGATGGGCCTAGTATCAGTGTTCAAGAAGGTTGCTCGGAGGAGGCGGCTGTCAAGGGCTGATGGTATGGGGGAGAGGTGGTGCCTGGGCAGAGTAGTACAAAGGCTCCGAGACCACCATGGGCTTCCCAGGTGGAGGCAGAGGGACCTGGAGAAATGGAATCTGCAGAGGGCTGAGAGATCCCGCCCTGGGCAAGGAGACTCAACTCAAAAATGATGGGGGATGGAGGGGTCATCGAATGCGGTGCTCCATTGTGTGTTGGAGGGTGTCTTAAGGGCAGGCCAAGGAAAGGGGTCTCTCCAAATACTAACGTGATAGCCTCAGGGTAGAAACAGAGGGGGCTTTGACCATCCTGACCTCAATCCCTCCCCCCAAAGACTTCTTTCACGACACTGAGAGTTTGGGGATCCCAATACTTCCATCTGGGAGGCAGGTGCATGCCCAAACCCCACATCCTAGATGATAAATCGATGATAATGCGATTTATTCTAGGGCCTTGGTACAGAGCCCATTTCTAGGGATTTACATGCAGGGAGCAACATCCTGCCCTCACGCTGAGCCCTGGCCACCTAGTGGGGGGACATGGCAGTCTCAGAAGCAGTGTCTTCAGGTCTGGATTGGGATCTCCCCTCTTTCTTCCCCAGGTCCACCCAGTCTCAGCATGTGTGTCCAGACCCGGAACACTTCCCAACCCTCCAACTTGCTTCTCCACAGAAGCTTCTCATGGCCAGGATGGATGCTCAGGAGAACCAGATGAGACAGAGCGAGGTGGCAACTGCCTGTGCTCCTAGCACCTGAGAGCATGAAGCAGGAGGATGGCCGGAAGTGAGAGGTTGGCCGGCCTACAGAATGAGACCTCAAGTGGGTAGCAGTAGCGCAGGCTCACAATTCCAGCAGCACAGAACACAGAAGCCGGGCTGTGTGGCGCATTCCTGCCACCCAGCACTCAAGGAGATTAGAAGTTCAAGGTCATCGTGGGGGCAGTGAGATAGCTCACTGGATAAAAGCCTCAGCCACCAAAACCTGACAGACTGGGTTCAGTCCCCGGGACCCACGTGGTGAAGGAGAGAAATGACTCCCACAGGTTGTCCTCCGCAGAACACACGGGCACCATGGTGCCCACACACAATGAATACATGTAATAAGAATTGAAACAATAATAATTTTTGCTGTCTGGGCATGGCTTGAACAATGATCTATTAAAAAAAAAAAAGGTAAGATCCTTCTAGACACCCGCTCCCTTCCCCCACACCACAACCTTCTCACATCTTGGGAAATTGAGGCAAAGCAACCTAAAGTGGTCCCTAGGCACCCTGCAGTCCTAGGGGATTCTGGATAGAATTCTGCTAAAAACTTGGTTCCCCTAGGTCCCTGTGGACTGCATGGTGCAGGCATCTGGTGCCCAAAGGGACTCACAGCCCACAGCCCTGCCTCTCTCTATGCCTTCAGTGACTCCTCCTTCCCTCCTGCCTGGGTAGGGAGAACCAGCTCCTAGTCACTAACCAATAAAGTCCCAACTGGATGTCAGGCCTGCCAGCCAAGTCACAGGACAGAATCACTGGGGAGCCAAGTCAGAGCCAGAGGAGATGCTTAGCTGCTCAGCCCCTGGAGAGAGACAGGAGGTCCTCACACACACACACACACACACACACACACACACACACACAGACACACACACACACAGACACACACACACACGCCACACACACACACGCCACACACACACAGACACAGACACACACCACCACCACACACACACACACACACACACACAGACACACACACACACACAGACACACACAGACACACAGACACACACACACACACAGACACACACACACACACAGACACACACACACACACACACACACACGTCCTACCAGGCCACCACCAGAGCACAACAATAGCCATAACTGAATGGCTTTCCTCTCCCAGGCTTGGGATAGGATCTTCCTTTTTTTGTGCTTGTTAAATCAATACAGCTGGGCCTAGTGGCGCACACCTGTCATCTCGGAAAACGGAGGCAAGAAGACTAAATTCAAGTCTACAGAACAACTGAAGGGAACCCTGTCTCAGGACAAAAAGCAGAAAGTGAGCAGAGGGCACGCATGGGTCATCAGGAGAGTGCTAGCCTGGGGTCAACACCCATGTGGTGCTCCCAACAGCCCCTACAGGCTCTGGAAACCTGTCTTGGTCAACACTGACCAGAAGGTTCTAGAAGGGGCACGAGTCCTCAGGCATACGGTCTCTGCCCCTGTTTGCTCATCCCCTACTTCACAATCTGGTTGTCCAGGCAAGATGTGTGGTCTGTGAACCTGTCAAGGCTTAGAGCAGTGACAGTACAGGGTCCTCCAGGCATCTATGCCCACAGGGCCTCAAGCCAACCACATCTCATCACTGCAGCTAAGAACCCAAGCCTAAGGGCTGGCCTTATGTCCCTCAGCTAAAACCTGGACATGAAGGTGATGCTGGAGTGAGAGGGCCCCACAGCCTGCCCCGCCCCAGACTGCCTTTCTCTGACTGGCTAGCTGGCACTAGACTCCATTCATATTGGCTAACCAGGAAGTCATTGCAAGCCCACCCTCTCTTGTGCCATTTCACAGGTGGGAACACAGCAAACACCCAGGGTCCAATTCTCAAGCCTGGAAGTCTGTGAGCAATGCTGGGTCTGGCACTCACGCTAGGGCATGCAGGAATAACTCCTGTTGACCAGAATGTGCCTCCCCAACCTCTGGGACTCTTCCCCGAACTCAGGTTCCTGGTAAAGGTGGCATTCTAGTCTCAGGGAGGTAGTTCCTGGGCCTCTGTTTGCTCTATTATCAAGCACTAGAGATAAAGAGGAATGACAGAAAGGGGGCGTCACGACTGAACTACCCTTATTCAAGAGTCAATGTCTCCGGAGACTCAGGCCTGGGGGAGAAGGGACCTGGATGCCAGACTAGCAGGAGCCGCAGCAGGCCCCAGAGCTGTCCGTGGTCCTGAAACTCCCGGCTACAATTTTCCAAGATAGCAGAGCACCTTGTCCACAAATTTGCCTCCCGTCTGTCACCGAAGACAGGGACATCCTCCTGTATTCCCTGCATGCAGCTCTCCCTACGGCTCGCGGGTGTACACCCACCCGGGACACACATGCGCGGGCGTGCACAGCCAGTATCCCAACAGGTACTTCTAGAGACCCACCAGCCACACCCCTAGGGACACGCCTCCTCTTAATTGGTCAGCACGCGCCCCCCAGAACCCCTGCGGGCATCATTTCGCAAGCTCGCGCGGAAAGGAGAAACACGCAAACACTCGGGTCGTGGCTCTGCGCCAGCGCCTGCCACTGCACGCAGCAGCCAACTCAGGCCACGTCTATATCCACACACCCAGGACGTGTGGGGACTCGGGACGCACCCGCCCCAGGCGCAAGCGGAGACCGTGGGAACCCGCGGCAGTCCGCTTGATAATCCCCTCCCCGCGGCCTCCAGGGCGCGTCCTTCCCATGTGCCCTCTCTCCCTTCCTTCCTTTTCCTATTCTTTTCCTTCCTCCTCTTCTTCCTTTCTCCTTTCTATCCATCCTTCCATCCCTGCTCCTGCTCCGCGGCCTCCGAGTGCCTATGTTCCCCTCTATTCGTCCTCTTCGCCCCTCAGAGCTCAGACCCTGGCCCTGCAGCCACCGCGCGCGCCCACCGCAACGAGGGCGCGAGGGAGGGGGCGCGCCGGGGACCCCCTCACTCCAGGCCTCCAAAAGGGCGGAGCCTCTGCACAGCAGAGTCCCTCGGGGGCGGGTCCCGGGCGCGCCCGAGGTCACCGAGAGGGTACTCCCCCCACCCCGGCCCTGTGCCCCGAACTGCCACCACCCCGAGGTCACCATCCGGGACGCGGCGCCCCGCCCTCTCCCGGGCGCGCCAAGGACGGGCCCCTCCCGGAGGCGGCACCTGAAGTCGCTGTAGGGGTGGATAATCCAGGCCCCCGCCGACTTCACGCGCTCCTGCTCGCGTTCTACGGCCTTCTGGCTGCCGAACATCCGCAGGGAGAACTTGTTGACGCCGGGCTGCAGGAGCGCCCCG